GTTATTATACCATTGCACGATCATAGACACTTGAATTGGAAGTTGTGTCATTGATTACAGCAAACATCAAAATTGCGTCGCTGCCGGGAGTGGTGTTATTTGAGAATTTTTGGATTAATAGAGTTTTTGTTCTGCTTAGTTGTAGTCTACTTACCTAATTTTCAGTTTTTTTTTTAGTATTTGTGTGCCACAACAGGACATATGAATACAAACGGGGAGAATAGTTGCCAAGCGGGCCACTCAAGAGGTGGTGTTTTTCATCAAGATGACATTGATGATGCTAATAGTGTTTGCAACTCTGCCAATATGGGTGAAAGTTGCATGCCAGAAGCTGACGGAAAAGTAATGTTCGAAGTTACCAGCGCAACACTCCAACTCATACACTCACGAGGTTTATTTGGAGGGTTAGAGCATGAAGATCCGCACGAACATGTACGAAGCTTTGTGGAAGTGTGCACCCCTTTATCATTCAAGAACCTATCTCAAGAATCCATACGGTTTTGCTTATTCCCATTATCATTGACTGGGGGAGCTACTAAATGGTTGGTTGAGCATCCCAATAATTCCATTAAATCATGGGAGGAGCTGGTTATGGCATTTCACGAAAGATTATTTCCTCCATCAAGAATGATAAAGCTGAGAGATGATATTTAGAATTTCAAGCAAAAGGAGGGTGAACCAATTCATGAGTCATGGATAAGGTTCAAGAGATGTTTGTGTAAGTTCCCAACGCATGGACTGCCAGGTGAATTGTTGCTCCAATACTTTTACTGCAGTCTGGACTCAGTTAATAAAAGGATAGATGATCAATTGGCGCAAGGAGGAATAATGTTACAATTTGAAGTGGCCTCATTTCTCCTAGATGGTATGACTAAAGTAAACCAGGCATGGTATACCAAAGATGATCAAGTTTCCCCACTATGTTGCTGGTTAACGCAAGAACAGATTGAAAAAGAAAGGGAAAGGGACAAAAACATCAAGAAGATGTTATCTCAAATGGAAATCCTACAAGAACATATGAACGGGACACGTGGAGTATTTTGAGTTGAGGAGGGTTCTTCTTCCGGTTACTCAAGATCGGGGGAGAATAAGGTTGGAACTCCAGAAGATACAAGGAGGGTTTCCACCCACGCTATCAATCGCCGGGTGGAAATCAAGGTTGGAATTATTATAGTGGTGAAGAAACAAGGAGATGTTGGCAAGATGGGGCTGAGCGGGATGATCAAGAAGAAGACCATACTTATTTGAGTAGCCCAAAATCTAAAGGGAGTGCAACTAGTCCTAGGGTAAATCATTTGTTATCGCGCATACTCGATAAAGTTGAGAGCTCTGATGATTTTCGAAAAGGGATGAAAGATGACTTTTCATCATTGAACTATAAAGTGAATTCTCATGTTGATGCTATCAAAATGCTGGAAGGTAAATTGAGTCTATTATCAGCTCAATTAACGTCCAAAACACCGAGGGACTATAGTGAAAGAGAGATAGATGTGGTTATCCGTAGCGGTAAAGTGACAATAGGGAATGTGATGGGAGATGAGGATCCTCAAAAGCATGAAGAGGGTCAAGGTGTGGAGGAACAAGATTTACCTATTCTACGAAACCTCACTAAAGAACCATAGGAGGAAGCAGAGCAACAAGTTCAAGTTCCAAAAGTCATACACCCTTTACCCAAGATACCTCCACCATTTCCCCAACGTTTGAAAAAGAAGAATGAAAATGAGAAGTTCAAAAAAAATTATCAGTATTCAAGAGCTTATCTATTAACCTCCATCTGGTAGAAGCATTGTTGGAAATGCCGGGATATGCCAAATTCATGAAAGAACTGGTTACAAAGAAAAGGAGGTTGGACAATGAAATGATTGAGGTGCCTCGTAGTTGCAGTGCAATTTTGACAAATGATTCAATCACTAAGAGAGAATATCCTGGGGCATTCACAATCCCGTGCACAATTGGCATGCTCCAATTCACTAAAGCCTTATGCGATTTAGGAGCAAGCATCAACCTGATGCCCTATACAATATACAAGCAACTTGGTTTGGGTGAACCAAAGGCAACCCCAATGAGGCTCATTATGGCTGGTCGATCAATCAAGCACCCAGTGGGGATACTCTATGACATATTGGTGAAAGTGGATCGGTTCATCTTTCCAGCTGATTTTGTGATTCTAGATTGTGAGATCGATGCTGAAATCCCCATTATTTTGGGTAGGCCATTCTTAGCTATTGGGAGAGCATTGGTGGATGTTGAAAGCACGAAATTGATGTTCTTTATGAATGATGACGAAGTGACTTTCAATATTTGTAAATCCATGAAGCAACCAAGTAATATCCATGTGGTGTCTACTCAGGATGCGATAGATGAGGCAGTGGCAAGTGTAAGTCATTTAATGCATAAATATGAACCCCTTGAATCTGTACTTACCAATTATGAGGAATCCGAAGTTCAAGGTTACGAGGAAGGGGTAGCTGCTTTATCAGGATTAGGAGAATATTCAAGGAATCCAATCAAGTTGGATATCGACCTAAACAATAGAGAAAGTCCCCCTGCAAAGCCATAAACAGAAGAACTGCCAAATCTGGAGTTAAAAGCCCTACCATCTCACCTCAAATACGCCTTCTTAGGAGCCAATAATACTTTACCGGTAATTATCACCGCCAATCTTCTTGAAGGGTAGGTGAAATTTCTCAATGAAGTACTACGGAAGCATATAAAAGCTATTGGATGGACAATAGCCAATATAGTAGGAATTCCTCCCGGCATCTGTACTCACAAGATTCGGCTCGACAGTGAATGAAAACCTAGTGTAGAACATCAACGAAGATTATACCCTCCAATGCAATAAGTGGTAAAAAAGGAGATCATCAAGTGGCTAGATGCGGGAGTGATCTACCCTATTGCAGACAGTAAGTGGGTAAGTCCGGTGCAATGTGTACTGAAAAAGGGAGGTATAACCATAGTCCCAAATACAAAAGGAGAAGTTGTGCCAACAAGACCAGTGACTGGGTGGAGAGTATGCATGGACTATCGAAAGCTTAACTCATGGACCGATAAAGACCATTTTCCAATGCCCTTTATGGATCAAATGCTTGACCGATTATCAGAAAGAGGGTGGTATTGTTTTTTGGATGGGTATTTCAGCTACAACCAAACTTTTATTGCACCGAAAGATCAATAGAAAACCACTTTTACTTGCCCTTATGGAACATTCACATTCAAAAGGATGCCATTTGGGCTATGTAATGCCCGAGCAACATTTCAGTGTTGCATGAAATCTATTTTTGCAGATATGGTCGAAGACTCTATGGAGGTGTTCATGGATGACTTCTCAGTCGTAAGGGATACATTCGAAGAGTGCTTGACTCACTTAGGATAGGTACTCCTAAGATGCGTGGAAATGAATCTGGTTTTTAATTGGGAGAAATGTCACTTTATGGTAAAATAAGGTATTGTTCTTGGGCATAAGGTGTCGCAAAAGGGGCTGGAAGTTGACAAGGCGAAAATTGAGGTCATTGAGAAATTACCCCCACTGATTTCAGTAAAGGGTGTTCGCAGCTTCTTGGGGCATACAGGATTTTACAGAAGGTTCATTAAAGACTTCTCAAAGATTGCACTACCATTATGCAAACTCTTGGAGAAGGAAGTGAAGTTCCACTTTAATGATGCTTGTGTAGCTGCATTTCAATGTTTGAAAGAGAAACTAATATCCACTCCGATTATCATCAGCTCTAATTGGTCCGAATCTTTTGAGTTAATGTGTGATGCTAGTGGTATGGCACTGGGGGTTGTGTTGGGGAAAAAGCGCAACAAACTATTCACCCAATCTACTACGCAAGCAAGACTCTAAATAGTGCCCAGCAAAATTATACAATCACCGAACAAGAGTTGCTTGCAGTAGTTTATGCATTTGAAAAATTCAGGGCATACTTGTTAGGCACCAGAGTGATCGTGCACACTGATCATGCTGCACTCCAGTAATTGGTGGCAAAGAAAGATGCAAAACCACGATTGACCCTACTATTACAAGAATTTGATTTCGACGTAAAGGATCGAAAAGGATGCAAAAATCAAGTGGCTGATCATTCATCAAGGTTGGAAGCAAGGGCGAATGTTGATCATGAGTTTGACATAAACGACTCTTTCCCCGATGAACGGGTGTTTGCAATATCCCTCAACATATGCCGTGGTATGCAGATTTTGCAAATTACATTGTGTGTGGGCTGATGCCAGATAAGTTGACCTTTTACCAACAAAAAATATTCATGTTTGATGTTAAAAAGTACTTTTGGGACGAACCATACTTGTTCCGAGAGTGTGCTGACCATGTCATCAGAAGATATGTTCCAGAAGAAGAAGTGGTAGAAATTCTCCATGCTTACCATACATCTCCAGTGGGAGGTCACCATGGTGGCATTCGCACCACTGCTAAAGTTCTCCAGAGTGGATACTACTGGCCATCACTCTACAAGGATGCACATGAGTTTGCAAAGAAATGCTCTAAATGTCAGCAGCAATGCGGAGTGTCCAGAAGACACGAATTACCTCTCACTCCTATTTTAGAGGTCGAGTTGTTCGATATATGGGGGATCAATTTCATTGGCCCATTTGTGAGCTCGTTTGGAAATAAGTATATCTTACTGGTTGTAGACTAGGTTTCCAAATGGGTGGAAGCCATCGCACTTCCAAACAACGAAGGAAAAAGCGTTGTCCAATTCCTGAAGTGCTACATCTTCGCAAGATTTGGCACTTCGAGAGCAATCATTAGCGATAGGGGATCTTACTTGTGCAATAAGTTGTTCTCAATGACACTGAGTAAATTTGGGGTGAAACACAAAGTGGCAACCTTATGTCATCCCTAAACAAGTGGCCAAATAGAAGTGTCAAATCGGGAAATAAAGAGCATCTTGGCAAAGACAGTGAATGTCAATAGAACTGACTGGTTTAGGAAACTCGATGATGCACTATGGGCATATCGAACTGCTTACAAAACACTTATCGAGATGTCTCCATATCAGTTGATTTATGGTAAAGCTTGTCATTTGCCTGTAGAGTTAGAACACAAAGCATTGTGGGCACTGAAAGCTTTAAATTTAGACTGGTCAAAAGCTTCAAGGGAGAGAGTAGAGCAGCTGAACGAACTGGATGAATTGAGACTCAGATCATATGAAAGTTCAGTCATCTATAAAGAGAAGATGAAGAAATGGCATGATGCTCGGATACTCAAGCGAGACTTCAAGGTAGGAGATTGGGTTTTGCTATACAACTGGCGACTTAGACTTTTCCCCGAAAAGCTCAAATCCAAATGGTCTGTACCATTTAAAGTCACGCGAGTGTTCGTCAATGGTGCCATAGAAGTTGAAGATCAGGAAGGACCTACATTTACAGTGAACGGTCAACGTTTGAAATTGTATCTAGGGGATTGTCAAGAGATTTCGTTGGTTGAAGTGGTATATTTGGAAAACGCCTGAAAGAGTTGATGTGTCATGTCGCGATGTTAACCAATGCGCTGTTTGGGAGGCAACCCAAAATCTCTTTAATTACTTTATTTTTATTATTGTCAGTACTTATTTCCTGGTAATAGAATGGTATGTTGTTGGTGCAGGTGAAAGTACGCGAATGTTTGAAAAAGGAAAATAAAGGATGGCAAACAATAGATCCTATCGACTAGTCGCCGAAGGTGTCAGCGAATCCGACCTTATCCGCCATTTGACTCAAGACATCGTCAACACTGTAGCCTGTAAAACTTGACAATATTTAGAGATTATCTGTGAATCGCCGTTTGGACCATCACAATGACTGAAGACTCTGTAAAACTCGGCGAGTCGAATGCTCACTTATCGAATCGCCAAGATCTTCGGCGATCAGAACTAATGTCACCAAGTGAGCAAAAAACTGTATCATCTTTGCTAGCCAAAGAGAACCAGAGTCAGGAGAGGAACACACCGGGCATTGATTCCCAAACACATGGAGCGACGGCTTAGTCAAGATTATCTCCATATCTCTCTCTTTGTCTTCCTTAAATTATCATGATAGATACTTATTACTTGCATTTGAGGAAAAATGATTTTATTTGTGGTGGGGCGAGGCCCACCTTGCCTACTTGTTATGGATATTTGTGTTGTGTTTACATTTGGGTTGTTTTGTTTTTAAATTTTGTCAACACTGTTTTTCTGTGGATGTTTGAGCTCATGGCTCCCTTTTGTTTTTAATTACAAATGATTTTTGACCCTTTCAAAAAAAATTAAAATTTTCGCACATTTTTGCCACCCCTCGTGAGCTGAATGTGGTTGTTCTTTTGCAAAAATTTGAGTCTCAGTTTCGATCAATACCGATGACTTGAATAGTGCTCTCAATTGAACGAACATGAATAAGTGCCTATGACGAGACCAAATGAAGTTGCATAAACAATATGTGAACTCTTTGCATCTCGTTGTGATTAGCCATTTATCAAATTGATTCTCTTGTAATGACCGTTGCACACTAGCGAAAGTGTGTAGTCTTGTTTGACTCAAGTGTCAATGCCTTGTGTGATTAGCTTGCTTTGATCCATGCATGAATAAACCTAGAATTTGCCCCGTTAGTCTAATTGATTAGAAAGGTGTCCTCTTGAGATGATCTTAGGCAACTTTAAAGAGTGTGAGCCAAATTTGACATATACCTCTTTTGTGGCCTACCCGTGAGCGTGTGAAACTCTTTTGAACACCCTTTGACCCTTACCTTTCTTTGGAAGAACCTTGATGAACCCTAGACCTTACTTGACCCACTACCTATAATCCTCTTGATTTGTGGTTTAAGCGAATAGCCAACTTAGGCCAAAAGCCTAAGTTGGGCGTATGGTGAAAAGGAAACGGAGAAGTCAAGAAGTGCAAGAAAAGTCCCCTTACTCATGGTATTGCATAAAAATGGAACCCCTTCAAAAAAATGTGGAATAAAGTACGAAGGAAATCGAGTTTCAAGCAATCCATGGAGGTGAATAAAAAGGTGACTTAGAAGCACTAGAAAAAGAATTGATAAAGGAAAAGAAGGGAATGTCTTGAGAATACCTCATCTCACGAGGAAAAGTCACTGAGTCTAAATGACCATACCTTTTCACTCATCCCAATTACAAGCCTTAGAAAGACCTTTTTGATCTTGAGTAAGCCAAATTGAAAGTCGATTGGAAAATAAGGGCAAACATATGGGTGAAAACATGTATTGTGTTCCCTTTTTTAGTGTGAGCATTGCATCTGATTCCGGATCTTGAATTGAAAAACCTCTGTGTGTGGATATGGAATCATTCTTTATGTGAAGGCATTTAGATACATTTTGTTGAGCTTGAACTTGCACAAGTAGCAAGTATTGCGAGTATGAGAATCTTTGGTAATGGTGTGCCACAACTTGAATCTTTGAGTACACAATTGATCCTTGCATAAGTAAATTGAGTCTTGCTGTGTGCATTCATGATTGAGTCTTGTGTAGCACTGTTTGAGACACCCTTTTTGAATGGCTGAACTTAAGTTTGCTTGAGGACAAGCAAATGTTTAAGTTGGGGTGTTGATGAGTCCACAAATTGGACTCATTTAGGGCTTTATTTTGATAGAAATAGTGTCCTCGAATGCTTATTTTATCTCAAAATCTGATGAAAACTCTTAAGTTTTAGGTATTTGAAGTTTTAGCGGAAGCATGAACACTTAAGCGCAAAAAGGAACAAAAAGACTGAAAAGAGAAGAAGTTGAAACATGAACTCTGCCAAGCACACTTGGCGAGTCGCCAAAGGGACAGATCCCGCCCTTTGTTCCAGTACGCGAAGCCCTGAAGGAAGAGGATCAAAAAGGCGATGAAATGAGAAATCGACGCTTCGCCAAAAAGTTCCTCGAAGCAGTACTATACCGCCTAATGGTCCAAAACATGAAGATGCTGAAGGCAAGCACGAAACAGTAATGAGACAGAAAAAGGGCAAGTCGCCGAGTCATTCGGCGAACTCGACTAACTTCGCCGAGCTATCCGCCAACACTAATTTATGATGGCTATAAATACTAAACTCTTTATTATGTTTTATGAGCTGGAATCATTATTAATAATTTACAATAGAATAGAACGTTTTTGGAATATTTTTCTCTCAAGTTTGGAGAGGGATTATGGGGAGACTTAAAGAAAGAAGGATTGCATCTTCCCCAAGTTGGAAATGGGTCTTCTCTATTCTTCTTCCTTTGCTTAAATCAAGGTTTAATTTCTTATACCCAGTTGATTTCATTATCATGTTAGGTGTATTTTGTTATTTCTTGATGTGTGGCTAAAAACCCCCATTCTTGGGGTGTAATTTAGCAAATATGTGTTGATATTATTGTTGGGTCTTGCTTGCTGATAAGTTAGATATATTTTAATGGTGATTTCACCTAGTGGTTGTGGTTTAATTTAATGGGTTTGTAGTTGCAATTACAAAACCACCCATGTGTTTTCGGCTTGCCCGATAGGGAGGTCGCGAAACCAAGACCGCTAGACTGATGGCCTAAGGAATGGGTCACATGAGGTTCAGCAATCAGCTCGAGAGAGTGAGTGGGGTAAGCCGTAGCCTGGCCTTCATGCAGAAAATGCGTATCCGAGCGAGCCCTCATCCTGGCTGGTCCCCAAGCGAACCCTCATCCTGACTGACTACAAGCGGAAGACTAACTTAAGCATGCAACAGCTTAAAACTGAATAAAATTCAATAAACTCAACTTTTCAAAACTTTAACTCAAATGAACAACTTATAATAATATAATATATTCAACTCGCCATAAAATAGGCAACTTAAGTCTTTAAAACATTTAATAAAATAAATGAATAATACATACTTCTCAACTATATTGACTATCTATGAAGACTCTAACTGTTAGAGATGGAAATCGGGACAAGACCCACGGCATCCTGACTAAACTGAAAAGTAAATGAAATCCTCCGAAAACAAGGAGGCTCACCATAGCTAACTCGAACTTCCAGATGTATCAACGAAGCTCCTGTTGATAACCCTGAATACATGTGGCTGCATCATGAGAAGATGTAGGCCAAATGGCTCAGTACGTGGAATGTACGAGCATGTAAGAGGAATTCTAAACCATAAACATAAGCTTGAATCTTGATAGAAAAAAAAAAGAAACATACTTACCTTTTCTCAACTCACTCAACCCAAGAATAACATACTTAACTCAAAGATTAGATACTCGACTTCAATGTTATGATACTAGACTCAAAGATTAGATACTCAACTTCAAAGATATGATACTCGAATTGAAATACTCAACAATGGATACTCAACTCATGAATACTTAACTGAACTCATTTCATTATAAAGCAATTTAAAACAAGTGCAATATAAAGAAAAGGAAAATTGTTTAAAACATGATGTCAACTCATAATCATAAATTAATAAAAGACATACCATGCTCCCTCTCAAAGTCTACCTGTGCAATGCATGAATGAAATCCCATACACCCATTCATATTAAGAAGAACCCCTTGAGGAACCATGCAATTACTGTTGTGGGAGTTTCTCTAACCGACAACCATCACTTAAGAGTTATAATGATGATACAACGATCTACCTCATGCTGCCAGCGCATCCTATACCCGGCCAAAGGTATAGGACCTGAACTACTAAGTGGATCCACAAGTCTATGTGAAAAGAATTCATCTAAAAAGTATAACCCTTTTCTACCCATGATGGCTACATGGTTTATGGGGGCTGATAGTTGTATGAACTGTTCCCCATATCAGTGCTCAATACTACTCCCAAAATATACTAGCTCTTTATGTTTTGAAAACATACTCTTTTTGTGATTTGAGATTAGTGCTCAAAAACGTAGCTCAAAGGCTATCTTGGAAATCAAGGTTTTCCTTTCTTATTTAAATGTGAAAACATTTTAAATCTCTTTGGGAATACTTAGTCCCCAAATACTTTTGAAGAAATAAACTTCAACTTTTACTCTTTACTGAACTCAAAACTTAAGTCTTAAAACAAAGTTAATATATTTGTAAAAGACTTCTAAAAATATGGTTCATGCCGAATTATGGACGTGAATGACTCGATGCAAAGTTTTCAATAACCATAGATAGATCTCAATACTTGGAACTCAAGAACTTCAATGATACTACTAATTTCAAGAATGCTCAACTCAGAGTGTTCATGCGGAATTATGAATGTGAATTACTCAACTCAGGGACTCAAAGATACTTCTTATCTCAAGATTTATCGACTTATAATGTTCATTCGGAATTATGGGAATGAACAACTCAACTCATGGACTTCATGGGTAATAGGTAATAGTCCCATGATTAGGATTATAATCTCGGAAGGGTTAGGAACTCGATACTCAAGACTTAGAACTTGAAGATACTACTTTTTTCAAAGATACTAAACTGATGGAGTTCATGCGGAAGTTATGGGCATGAACGACTTGACTCAAGGGTCAAAATATCTATATGGAACTTAGGTATACGACTCTTGTCATTCTCATTCATATAGTTACTTCGCAAAACTTAACTCAAATCTATGGTGGATATCAAAGGATTCACAATTGAACTCAAAGACTTTCTTGAACTCTACTCTTAACACTCTCTTGAATGTGAATTATGAATTCAAGAGTTATGGTTTATTATACGAAAGATCTAGGCGATAGTGTAGACTCATGAATACATTATTCTCACTCTCATA